ATGGTAAAAATGGCCATCTTACCAAAAGCAATCTACAGATTCAATGCAATTCTCATCAAATTGCCAACACAATTCTTTACAGACCTGGAAAGAAAAATTCTCAACTTCGTATGGAATAACAAGACCCAGAATTGCTAAAACAGTCCTCTACAATAAAAGATCTTCTGGAGGTATCTCCATCCCTGATCTTAAGCTGTACTATAGAGCAACAGTTATAAAAACTGCATGGTACTGGTATAGAAACAGAAAAGTGGATCAATGGAACCGAACAGAAGACCCAGAAATAAACCCACACACTTATGGACACCTGATCTTTGACAAAGATGCCAAAACCATACAATAAAAAAGATAGGATCTTCAACAAATGGTGCTGGTTTAACTGGATGTCTACATGCAGAAAAATGCAAATAGATTCATACTTATCACCCTGCACAAAACTAAAGTCCAAGTGGATCAAAGACCTCAACATAAAACTAGAAACATTAAATCACTTAGAAGAAAAAATGGGAAAAACCCTAGAAATCATTGGTACAGGAGACAACATCCTGAACTGAACACCAACAGCACATCCTCTAAGAGCAATAATCAATAAATGGGACCTCATGTAACTGAAAAGCATCTGTAAAGCAAAGGACACTGTCATCAAAACAAAACAAAACAAAAAAAAAAAAACTTCCTACAGACTAGGAAAGAATCTTCACCAATCCTTTATCAGACACAGAGCTAATATCCAGTATATATAAAAACTAAAGAAGCTGAAAAGCAGCAAACCAACTAATCCAATTAAAATACGGGGAACAGAGCTAAACAGAGAACTCTCTGTAGAGGAATATCAAATGGCAGAGAAACACTTAAAGAAATGCTCAACCTCATTAGCCATTAGGGAAATGTAAATCAAAACAACCCTGAGATTTCACCTTACACCCATCAGAATGGCCAAGATGAAAAACTCAAGTGACAACACATGCTGGAGAGGTTTTAGATGAAGGGGAACCCTTCTCCACTGCTGGTGGAAATGTAAACTGTACAACCACTCTGGAAATCAATCTGGTGATTTCAGACAACTAGGAATAGCGCTTCCTCAAGACCCAGGTATACCTCTCCTAGGCATATATCCAAAAGATGCTCAATTACACAACGAGGACATTTGCTCAACCATGTTTGTAGCAGCCTTATTTGTAATAGCCAGAACCTGGAAACAACCCAGATGTCCCTCAATGGAGGAATGGATACAGAAATTGTGGTATTTTTTACACTATGGAATATTACTCAGCAATTAAAAACAAGGAAATCATGAAATTTGCAGACAATTGATGGGATCTAGAAAAGATCATTCTGAGTGAAGTATCCCAGAAGGAGAAAGACATCCATGCTATATACTCACTTATTTAGAACTATAAGATATGATAAACATAATGAAATCTACACAACAAAGGAGCTAAACAAGAAAGTGGTCCTGGGGTAAGATTATCAATCCTCACTTAGAAAGACAAATGGGATGGGCATTAGAGTAGGAGAAAACAAATAACAGGACAGGAGCCTACCACAGAGGGCCTCTGAAAGACTCTTCCCTGCAGCTTATCAAAGCTGATACTGAGGCTCATGAGCAATCCTTCGGCAGAATGCAGGGAATCATATGAAAGAAGGGAGAGTTAATGTGACCTGGAGAGGATAGGAGCTCCACAAGGACCAAATATATCTGGGCACAGGGGTCTTATATGAGACTGTTTCTCCAACCAAGGACCATGTATGCATATAACCTAGAACTTCTGCTCGGGTGTAGCCCATGGTAGTTCATTATCCAAGTTTGTGCCCTAGTGAGGGGAACAGGGACTATTTCTGACATGATCTCAAAGGCGGGCTCTTTGACCTCCCCCCCCCCCCAAGGGAGGAGCAGCCTTACTAGGCCACAGAGAAGGACTTTGCAGCCAGTCCTGAAGATACCATGATAAAACAGGGTGAGATGAAATGGGAGGAGGTCCTCCCCTATCAGTGGACTTGGAAAGGGGCAGGGAGGAGATGAGGGAGGGAGGGTGGGATTGGGAGAGAATGAGGGAGTGGGATACAGCTAGGATTCAGACTTAATAAAATATAACTAATAATAAAAATAAATGAAAAAAAGAATAAAAAGACATATACTCAGCCTAAGTGCCAATTATCAGACAAATGCATAATGGATTTATAGCATATGTACACATGGATATTTTGTTCAGCCATAAAGAAGGCTAAAATATGACATTTTCAGGCACGTTGATGAAACCAGTTGCCTATTAAAAAATAAGGAGCACTCATCAGGAAAATATTGACTCTAATGTGCACTTTGTAACTTTTTACATTATATACCTGTGTCAGTGATAAAAAGAGGGTGTGTTTAAAAAGCAATAACACTAAACAGTCTTGGGAATGAAAATACATGAAGAAATGGGAGGTGAAAGAACAAATTTTCTCTTATAGGCTAAATATATATGGGCTGTGCATGTATGTTTGCCTCTCTCTGTGTCTTTCTGTGTGTGTGTTAGTGTGTTTCTTACAACATGGAAATCAAAGTTAGAAAAGCAATTTATAGTAAGGATGTAAAATCAATAGAAAGGTGAAAAAATGAGGGGTATGTAAACTTGTATACAAAAGGAAATGTGCAAAAAAGCATGATAAAAACCATTATACTATATATTTTCTTTAAAATGAAAATATTCACTAAAAACACACCACCGAACAACGCAATTTACACATTAGAATTTCAATTTTCTGCCTTGAATGATAAATTTTCTCTTCTTTCAAAGACTACCTGACACCAAATAGTCCACCCTAAAAACATACATGCGAGAAACTTTCCGTAGATTTAACAGGTTACATTAAAGAATAGGTATGTATAAATACATATATGTATAAAATAACGATTAATAAACAAGTAATTCATGAATTCAAAAGATTGCAAGGAGGGGTCTGAGGTAATGTTCATGGTTAAATAAGGAAAGAGAGAAACTATGTAACTATATTGCTATCTCAAAAGTAAAAAATAATTAAAAGAAATGATCAAGATGAAATAATCTACAGATAAACGTTTTAAATGTATATATACATACAAGTAACATATATAAGTATTCTGTACTCATGTATTGGAAGTATGTAAATATAGAAATACATATTAGTTTATCAATGATTGATGAATAAAGATACTATGAAGTTGAAAGAGGACAAGGAGAAAGTATATGAATGGGTTTGAAGAGCAGAAAGGGAAATGTAATCATATTATAATCTCAAAAACTTAAAAGAATTTTAAAAAACATTTAACTGTTCTTTTTGCATGAAACAATTTTCATAGTACTGTTGCTAGTTCTGTTTGATCTAAAAGAATTCCAGTTTGGTGGAGCACATTTTGTTTTCTGAGAGTGGGGATGCTAACATCTCGTGCGGTAAATAAACAAATAGTGTGTAAAATGTCAGCTTGAATTAGGTAAAATATAAAGTAATCATAAATACTATAATGAAAACTGATAGTATAAACCTGCTTATTTTTAACTGAAACTGTATTCCTTAGTTTCCACTCCCTGCACTCCTCCTAGCTCCCTCCCACCTCCTTTCCCCCTCAACCTATAACCCTCTGTTTCCTCTTCAGTAAAGAGTATCTCCTCAAGAAACAATATTCATACAGGACAAACCAAAATACAACAAGACAAGGCAAAAGTCCTCATATCAAAGTTGGACAAGGAACCCAGGTATCGAGTTCTTGAAAAGAGTATCAAGAACAGGCAAAAGAGTCAGAGACATAGCTCCTCCTACTCTTGAGAGTCTGACTAAAACACCAAGCTAATAGCCATAACATCGGCAGAGGATCTAATGCAGACCCATGCATGTCCTGTGCTTGTAGTTCTTTTCTCTTTGAGCCTATGTTAAGCCTGCTTAGTTAATTCAGTGGGTCTATGTGTTCCTGGTGTCCCCTACCCCCTCTGTCTCCTACAGTCTTTGCTCTTTCACCTTTGAGGGATTCCCTGATCATTCTTTCTTGTGAGTATATACTCATGTTCTTTGAAAAAAATAGTGGCAGTTTCCGAAGACATAGCACTATAGTACACATTCTGCAAGCAGAAACCCAAATTCCTCTTGGATGATAAATTTCCTTTTCCTTCCAAGGCTGATTTCATCTATCAATGTGTCTATACTGTTCCTGGCCACCACCCTGAGGAATGCTCCAAAGGAGATAACATATAGAGGTGATTTCTAGAAATTAATTTTTACATATAACCATTGGGGAAATCAATGTTGTGAGTGAAGAAATAGATCAACAAAATGTATTTATCCATAGGAATTGAAGAATGACGGAGAAACCATATTTTAGAAGTCCACATGAAGCTGTGTCTACAGTGATGATGAGCGACTGACTAAGTATTACTTCTTCAGCATGATTTGGCAAATGCATTCTCTACATATTGGAAAGCACATTGAACATTTGGTGATTCTGCACATGGGTGTTTTGAGTAGTTCAAACACCACGCAGTAACTTCTCTGAGGTAGTCTTGACAGTGAGTTTGCAATGTTATACATACTTCACTCAGAGAATGAAGCATATCATGAATGACTTTGGGTCTTGTACTTTGGAGAATTTTGGATGCTTTTGTTAAATACATTAATTTGATAAGATTGACTGTGATCATACAAATAGCTCATTAACACAGATTTCTGTTCAAGAGGAAGCCTCCTCTGAGGAACTCATGCCAGGGGCTTGAATGAAATCATAGCATGCAAGGCAGGAGAAGATCATCCTCATAACATGTTTTGAAAACTGCTTCTCACTTGAATGTTAAAAGCAGGTGCAGAACCCCAGGCCAGGCTATTTTCTATCTCCCCTGAGACTTTGGTACAGACTGGAGAGAAAGAAATCAAGAGGTTATTTGTAGTATCTTCAGTCACAAGAGAAATAGAAGCAGGCATATATGCACCCTCGCACATATGACGTTTTTCTGACTGATACTGCTGGTTCTCACACAGGTCAAGTTTCCGGCATGGCTAACATGGGAAAGACGTTCAGCTCAATTTTTGTAGTCTTGCTCCTGAAGCTTCCTCTTCTTTTGTGCAATTCTACTGAAAGCATGTGCTTTTGGAGAGTAAAATTCAATGAAAACAGTGATGGGGACTTGCCACAGGACTGTGCTTTTCTCCTTTACACAGCTGAGGAACCTGCACCAAAAGACTTTTTCAAGTATCTCCTTGAAGTACGGTGAGTTCCCCTTGCAATACCTAATTTTCTATTTCATGATCCTAATGGACACTTTGTAGGAGCTCTATACATAGCTGAACCAATATTCTGTGATGTCCTTTCCTCTTCTTCCAAACCAGAGGTATAGAAAGTTGACATAATGTATTGGAGTATTTGCTGGAGGCTACTTTTACATGCTCTAATGGCCCTGTCTCTATGTGTCTCTTTCCCATAGACTCCTTTTTACAATTCTCCTAATTTAGATACATACTACCTTCTACACAGATTCTTCAAGATACTTAGCTTTTGTAAGTTTCCACCCCATGGAGTCCAGTGATCTTTGTAAAAGCTCAGTGAAACTAATGTCATGAGCAAAATTTTAGATTGTACCAAAGTGCTTTTGTGAGTATCTGTTACTGCAACTCACTTTGCCACATAAAGCCTAAAATCCATGCAAATTCCATGCTATATTCTGCTAAGGCAAATATTTTACAAAGACCGAACCTGCTCTTTCTACAGTCTGCATGTCATTGTTTAATGTCATCTTTTTTGGACCTGATATTGAATGCAAAACCAAGAGCCTTAAAAAATGTGATTTTTTTTTTTTTTTAGAATTTCCATTCTTTTGGTACCTCACTATGGAGTATGCTTTGTCTGCAATTAGAGGTGTTAGTATTTGTAAGAATTCTACTTAAGGAATAAATGGATGCTTGGTGAATTGCAGAAGAATATCTCCTGATAAAAATTGGTTGACACTGAGAGCATGGGCGCTTCTTTTCCCTGTCAACCCTAGAGTGGTAGTTAGTAATGACAGATACCAACTTTAACAGCAGGAAAGAAGCTTCTCACACTGATGCAGCTCTAGTCTGCTGAGAATGCTCACGTCTTCCATTTGTGTGCGGGGTGTCTTTTTCTTCTTTACACTTTCTGAAACTGATGTCATATTGGCATATATTTTCAAAATTCAGTAAATGTTGTAACATGAATTCACATATATGTATACCCATGTGCATTGGATTTACCTTAATACTGGTTGTCAATATCTAAAAATAGTCCTGTGTGGACTTTAGTGTGAGAATTTGGACTTTAATTGTGGAAATACTGAATTAGAGTGGAAAAGCATCCATCTTTTTGTGGGTGCAAAATTTTTCACATTAATGACATTTATTATATTTGTAATGATATAATGCATACTCACCAAGAACTACTGTAGTACAGTTTTAGGAAATAAATGAAACATTGCTTCCAACAATCAATAAACCATGGAAACATTTGGGATTTCTATGTCAATTTTCAATATCACTAATAGAAAACAGAGGAAGATTATGGGAAAGCAGTAAGGCAAGATTTGCACATTTTATAGGATAAAGATAATATTGGTGGTCACATAACCTGTAAATTACAATAGATAATTAGAAATACTGAGATATAGAAAATAATCAGGTTGTTAGTTGAATTTATTGAGGAAAACAGGAAGACTGAAAACAATAAGTGGACAAACCAAAGGAAACTAACCTTTAAGCAAGTTGTAAATTCAGGTGTGAAATGATACAAAGTAGCTTGTCTTGATCCTTACAAACCTCCAGAACTCTGAGTACTGATGTAGATATTTTATGATTTCATAAGAGGTGATATAAGGCTGCCAGTAACTCCTCTGGTTTTCTTTAGTCCATTCTTCTGATCTCAGGTTGCACAATGCCTCAGCACTCAGTTCTCTTCAGAACTGTGCACTGAAAATGCTTTCTGTGGTTGAGAAGAGCATGTATGAATTATATGAGTTCTGTACCCAAGATGGCATATCTCCTGGGTGCTAGGTTTATAAAGACTTCATAATGTTTTAAGAGTTCTAAGGTCAGCAGACACAAAGAGGAAGGACATCAGAAGAAAACAGGAGGGAGCTAGAAACCGGCCATGGAAGGCCTCTGAAAGGCTCTGCCCTGCAGAATATCAAAGCAGATGCTGAGACTTATGGCCAACTGTTGGGCAATGTGCATGGAATCTTGGGTAAGAAGTGGGAAATAGTAAGATACGGAGTGGACAGGAACTCCACAAGGAGAGCAACAGAACAAGAAATTTGAACACAGGTGTCTTTCCAGAGACCCATGCTCCAACCAAGTACCATGCATGGAGTTAACCTAGAATCCCTGCACAGATGTAGCCCATGGCAGTTTAGTGTCCAAGTGGGTTACATAGTAATGGGAAGAGGGACTGCCTCTGACATAATCTGATTGGCCTGCTCTTTGATCACCTCCCCCTGAGTAGGGAGCAGCCTTACCATGCCACAGAAGATGACAATGCAGCCACTCCTGATGATATCTGATAGACTAAGATCAGAAGGAAGGAGAGGAGGACCTCTCCTATCAGTGGACTTGGGGAGGGGCATGCGTGAATAAGAGGGTGGGAGGGTGGGATCGGGAGGGGAGGAGGGAGAGGCTTACAGGGGAATACAAAGTGAATAAAGTGTAATTAATAAAAATAAAAATAATAAAAGAGAAAAAAAGAGTCCTAAGGTCATAAGAGGTAAAGAGATATAATGATGACAGTATTTCCAAATATTAACAATGATATTTGGTGTAATACCAGCTAAAATGGAAATAGGTAGCTTGTAATACTTGTAGTGTTAAAATAAAAAAAGTCCATGGAAAAAGATGCTACCAGTCCTGATGAGACCTGATAAGCTAGGGTCAGATGGAAGGGGAGGAGGACCTCCCTTATCAGTGTACTTGGGGAGGGGTATGGCAGGAGATGAAGGCAGAGGATGGGATTGGGAGAAGTCAGGAGGGGGGTACAGTGGGTATACAAAGTGAATAAACTGTAATTTATATATATAAATAAATTTTTCACATTTTTTTATTAATTACATTTATTCACCTTGTATCTCCCCTGTGGTTCCCTCCCTCCACCCTTCCCAATCCCTCCCTTTCTCCACCCTCTGCATGCATGCCCCTCCCCAAGTCCACTGATAGGGAAGGTCTTCTGTTCCTTCCTTCTGATCCTAGTCAATTAGGTCTCATCAGGAGTGACTGCATTGTCTTCTTCTCTGGCCTGGTAGGGCTGCTTCCACCTCAGGGGGAAGTAATTAAAGAGCAGGCCAAGCAGTTCATGTCAGAGACAGTCCCTGTTCCTATTACTATAAAACCCACTTGGATATTGAACTACCATGGGCTACATCTGTGCAGGGGTCTTAAGTTATCTCCATGCATAGTCCTTGGTTGCAGTATCAGTCTCAAGAAAGACCCCTGTGCTCAGCTTTTTTGGTTCTGTTGCTCTCCTTGTGGAGTTCCTGTCTGCTCCAGATCTTATTGTTTCCTACTTCTTTCCTAAGATTCCCTGCACTCTGCCCAAAGGTTGCCCATAAGTCTCAGCATCTGCATTGATAGTCTGCAAGGCAGAGCCTTTCAGAGGTCCTCTGTGACAGGCTCCTGACTTGTTCCCTCTTTTCTCATTCCTCTGATGTCTGTCCTCTTTGCCCTTCTGGATAGGAATTGAGCATTTTAGTCAGAGTCCTCCCTCTAGATTAGTTTCTTTAGGTGTACAGATTTTAGTAGGTTTATCCTATATTATATGTCTAAATGAGTGAGTATATACCCTGTGTGTCTTTCTGCTTCTGGGATAGCTCACTCAGAATGATCTTTTTCCAGATCCTGCAAATTTCATGATTTCTGTGTTTTTTATTGCTGAATAATATCCCATTGTAGTAACCTGCAAATTTCATGATTTCTGTGTTTTTTATTGCTGAGTAATATTCCATTGTGTAGATATACCACAGTTTGTGCATCCATTCCTCCACTAAGGGGCATCTGGGCTGCTACAAACATGGTTGAGCTAATGTCCTTATTGTGTACTTGAGACTCTTTTGGGTATATGCCTAGAAGTGGTATAGCTGGATCTTGAGGAAACGCTATTACTAGGTGTCTGAGAAAGCGCCAGATTGATTTCCAGAGTGGTTGTATAAGTTTACATTCCCACCAGCAGTGGAGGCGGTTCCCCTTTCTCTACAACCTCTCCAGCATGTGTTGTCACTTGAGTTTTTGATCCTCGCCTTTCTGGTGGGTGTAAGGTGAAATCTCAGGGTCGTTTTCATTTGCATTTCCCTGATGGCTAATGAGGTTGACGATTTCTTTAAGTGTTTCTCTGCCATTCGATATTCCTCTGCAGAGAATTCTCTGTTTAGCTCTGTACCCCATTTTTTAATTAGATCACTTGATTTTTTGCTGTTTAACTTCTTGAGTTATTTATATATACTAGATATTAGTCCTTTATCAGATATAGGGTTGGTTGTGATCCTTTCCCTGTCTGTAGTCTATTGTTTTGTTCTGACAACAGTGTCCTTTGCTTTACAGAAGCTTTTCAGGTTCATGAGGTCCCATTTATTTTTTGTTGCTCTTCGAGCCTGTGCTGTTGTTGTTCTTTTCAGGAAATTCTCTCCTGTGCCAATGAGTTCAAGGCTCTTCCCCACTTTTTCTTCTAAGCAGTTTAGTGTGTCTGGTTTTATGTTGAGGTCTTTGATCCACTTGGACTTTAGTGTTGTGCAGGGTGATAAGTATGGATCTATTTGTATTTTTCTACATGTAGACATCCATTTAGATCAGCACCATTTGTTGAAGATGCTGTCTTTTTTCCATTGAATGGTTTTGGCATCTTTGTCAAAAATCAGGTGTCCATAAGTCTTTGGATTTATGTCAGAGTCTTTTATTTGCTTCCATTGACCCACCAGTCTGTTTTTATCCAGTACCATGCAGTTTTTAGTATTGTTGCTCTATGGTACAGCTTGAGTTCAGGGATGGAGATGCCTCCTGAAGATCTTGTACTGTAGAGAATTGTTTTAGCAATCCTGGGTTTCTTGTTGTTCCATATGAAGGTGAGAATTTTTCTCTCAAGGTCTGTAAAGAATTTTTTAAAAAATAAAATTATAGATAGAAAAGGTCAACCTATACGGAAAAAAGCCTCAAGTCATCAAAAGTTGCGAAGTCTCACTGATGTACTTTAGGGTTTAAAACATCTACAAACCTCTAACAAAAGCAGGATGCTTCTAACAATCTTCCTCTTGTCTGTTCTGTTACACAGCAATCTGTCACAAGCAACAAATCAGTATTTTCCTGTACTGTGCACAGCTACTTTACATGGCCAGCATGGCTTTCTTTTTTTAAATAGTTCATAACAAAAGAGAAAAATATTTTTTCAGAATTTGGAACATAACACAAATAGTTTTGTATTCTGAGTATAAAATATAACTTTGAACTAATAAAATAGCTTTGTACATTTCTAATTTTTGATTGGCTTAATTTGTTATTTACTTAGTATAATCTTATATATTCAGTGTTATAGTGATATTATCACACACACATATGAATGCATATTGTTTAATCAAACTGAGTAACATATTAATTGAAATAATTACAGTTTTGGGTTTTACTGAGTTTTAAAATATGATTATCCACAAATTCAAGCTATGAATAATCTAATGGGTAATTTGTCTGTCTTTAGAAGTACATATTTGTATATCTTTACACATACACACAAGGTTCATCTTCCATTATGTCCTCTACATATACTTTAGTTTCACATAAGAACTGTCAAATATATCACAGTCAATTAATAAGATATTGATATTATATCTTCTGTAATTATATATTCTTTATCATTTGGAATTGTTTCTCAAGGCAGTTTAATATATTTATGATGATAATCTATATAAAAATGTATAATTAATGAGTGACTTTCTTGAAACTTTGAACATACATTGTTTTATTATTTCCATCCTCATTGAGAAGCATCAACCACTATTCATTTTTTATTTTGAGCATTCCTTTTTTAATTTTTTATCTTAATTACAGCTTATTCACTTTGTATCCCAGCTGTATCCCAATTCCTTATTCCCACCCAACCCTTTCCTCACTCCCTCATCTCCTCCCATGCCCCTCTCCAAGTCCACTGATAGTGGAGGACTTCCTCCCCTTCCATCTGACCCTGGCCTATCAGGTCTCATCAGGACTGTCTTTCATAATCTTCCTCTGTGGCCTGATCAGGCAGTGCCCCCCTAAGGTGGAGGTGATCAAAGAGCCAGCCACTGAGTTCGTGTCAGAGACAGTCCTGTTCCCCTTACTAGGGTACTCACTTGGATACTGAGCTGATTTTGAGCATTTCTACTTAGGAAAATCTCTTCCTTAGATTTAACATATTTTCCTTGAATATAATACCATAGTTCATAAGAATTCTTACATTGGTTTGCTTCATTACAGTTAGTTGACCAAATCTTTGACAGTCACCCAATTCCTTGTATTTATTTGACTATTGCATTCCTGCTTTAGCCATATTTCCACTCAATTCTGTGAAAAAAAAAAAAAACTGTTGTTTGATCATGTCAGGCTTTTGTGATTTTCCTAATATTCAACTGCATATCTACCTGTTTGAATATTCCTAGAAGATACTGAACAATCCTGGCAGTAAAAAAAAAAGTCTGACTCTGTATTTATGGAATGCGCCTAGACATCACATAGACATCATCTCCACTGTACAAAATTTTCACGTATAATATAAGATAGGGTATGGGAAAAGAGTATATGGAGGAGACAAGTGTCTTAGTCATTGTTCAAGAGTCATGGCAACTCTAATAAATTAAAAAAATTAATTGAACCTGGCTTACAGTTCAGAAATTTAGTCCACTGTCATCGCAGTGGGAGGCACAGTGGCACACAGGCAGATGTGCTGGAGATGTAGTTGAAGAGTTTACATCTGTGCTCACAGACAGCAAGAAGACCTGGTTTGAGCTTCTGGAACCTCAAAGCCCTCTACCCATGACACACTAACTCCAATAAGGGCACACGTAGTTCAATAAGGCCATACCTCCTTATAGTACCAATCCTATGGGTCTATAAAGGCCATTTTCTTTCAGACCACCAGGAGAGCCTTGTATATGTAAAGTGATGGACAGCCATGCACAAACACCAATGCTTGTGAAACATTTTTTTGCATAAAGATCTACGTTCACTCCTCTATTGTTTTAATTTTTAAGAGAGTGTTTCTTTTTGTAGCCCTGGCTGTCCTGTAACTCACTCTGTACAGTTCCAGATCTGTAGGCTGGCCACAGGCTCAGAGATTCCCCTGCCTCCGCTTCCCTAGTGCTAGGATTAAAGGCATGTGCCACCATGCCCATATTAAATGAAAAAAAAGTATATATTTTACAATAATCTACATATAATAAAGTATCTTCAACCAGTTTGATAAATATTATTAGCTTAAATATTTTTCTTCCTTGTTTTATAGACTCAGTTAGAAAACTATTAGAAAGGCAAGAAATGTAGAAGAGGGGATTAAAGTGGGGTGATGACATCCTGTCTTCTCTAAGAATGACTGACTAGGAAAGATTTGTTTGTGGCCAACTGTTCCAAACTTATATAACAGCATTTTCACTATTACATACGTTAGTGCACTGGGCTGCAAGAGAGTCCAACAAACTCCATACTTTGTAATGAGGTTTTTTGTCACAATTATTTTATACATTTGTGAAATTCTGAATTTATATTGTTATGTAATGTTAAACCCTTTTAAAATTTATTAACTCACTTTATATCTAGATCATAACCCTCTCTGTTGGTATAATGTTCTTTTTAATGTGTACACCTTATCCTTGTTCATTCAAAAGCTGATTTCTCCCTGCCCCCTGCTTTCAATCAGGATATTGCATTGTGATGCTCATTCTAAGCATCCTGTCTCAACTCTTGTGTAAACTGGAAAAAATAAAGCAACTAGACATAATGTTGAGCTGGGAGGAACCAGAGGTCAGGAAAGAGGGGAGGAGCTAGAAGGCAGGAAAAGAGTGGGAGGAAAAAAAGGCAAGGAGAGCTAGAAGAGAGAGCTGGGGAGAGATCTGAGAACAACTTGGAGAGATGGACTGGACCTAAGATTTCACAAAAAGCAAGTATAATGTGGGAAATCTAAATGTTAGGAAACTATGAGGGCTTGGAGGTTTAGGAGGCAGTAAATATTGCCCAGCATTGTGTTCTAGGATAACTAAATAAACCCAGTCTCTGTGTGGTGATTTGGTTATACAGCACTTTAGGATTAATAGCAAGTTTTACCAAAAGATATATCAATAGCAAATATTAAAACCACTACAACACCTCTCCCCTCCTCCCATTCCCATACTACCTACCCTCTTTCTCCTATTTTCCCTCCACTATTCTTCGAAAATGGGAGCACTTCCACTAACAGATCCAAGCACATCAAGTTCACACTGAACACATCCTCTTCTCCTGTGGCCTAGACAGGCAGCCTCACCAGTGGAAAGTGATCAAAAAGCAGGCAGCAGAGTCCCTGTCAGAGACAGCCTTCTGCTCCCATTATTATTACGGGACCCACATGAATGCTGAGCTGCCCATTAGCTACATCTGTGTAGGGAGCCTAGGTCTAGTCCATGCATGGTCCTTGATTGGTACTTTAGTCTCCATAGAGGGCCTCTCCCCCAGCCTCGGCTCTGTTGGTCTTCTTGTGGAGCTTCTGTCCCCTCCCTTCTGTTATTCCCCCTACTCTTCCAAAAGCCTTCCTATACTCCACCCACTGTTTAACTGTAAGTGTCATTATCTGTTCTGATCTGCTGCTGGGCAGAGCCCCTCAGAGGACAGCTATGGTAAGCTCCTGTCTTAAAGCATGTAGATTATCATTAATAGTGTCAGGGGTTGGCTTTCGCAATTGGGGTGGGTCTCAGGGGGAGGGGAACACCAACCCACACAAAAACCATGTGCCCAAAATTTACCTTGCCTACAAGATATGCAGGGATAAAAATAGAGCAGAGATTGAGGGACTGTCCAACCAATGCTTGTCCTAATTCTTGATAGCATTTCTAGAATCAAGTCTGAAGAGGTCATTTTCTTTCTTAAAAATACTTATTTGTTCATCTATCTATCTGTCTATCTATCATCTATCTATCTATTATTTACTCCCTGTTCTGCCTGAATGTGTACCTGCACAACAGAAGAAGGCACTAGATCTCACTATAGACAGTTATGAGCCATGACGTGGATGCTGAAAATTGAACTCAGGACCTTTTGGAAGAATATACAGTGCTGTTAATTGCTGAACCATCTGTCCAGAGCAAGAGGTTATTTTCAGGCTCAAAATAATATCTAAAACATGTGCTTGTTTCTTATAGAACTTGAATGTAATAAAGTGGATTTCAGGAAAATCATATTTAATTTAATGTCTCCTTCATCTCCTTATAAATTTGAGAGACTCTCACATGTCGCTAATGATCTCAATTTGACACAGCCTCAAAAAACAGAGAAAGCTTTCAAAATAGGAAGCTAATGCAAATAAAATTAATTTTATAATATTTAATAAATTTAATGGAAAGATATGCATGTTTGGTGATACATTTATAATAATTATCATTTCCTCTTTTTTAGTTTGCCTCCCAAAATATACCAGTATGTTCTATCATTGTATTTTGCTATGGATGAGATCAATAGTAACCCGTACCTTTTACCCAATGTGTCTCTGGGTATTGCATATTTTGAAGGTAAATGCAAGGGTTATTTATCATTATTCACTCATCTAAATATAGTGACAAAATATCTTTACCCTCTTCCTAATTACATCTGTGATGTGAGTGCCTGTGTGATGGCACTTACGGGCCCACTGTGGAGAACATCTGCCCAAGTGGCATCAATCCTACAGATCAACCTTATCCCACAGGTAGGTTCTTGGTTTTTGTTTGTTTTAAGTGTTACAATACTGCCTCCTTAACTGCCATTGTCCAAGAGATTCCGGAGAGTAGTGTATACTCATTGATACATATATATTAAAGGGTTAATAATCGGAGCTTGAAACTATAGTTTCAACAGTTGTTTAAAATTGAAAAGGGGACAGAGTTGCAGGCATTAGGTCGGGGAATCATTGAAAAAAAACCCCAGACTCAGGTAGTATATAAAGGCAAGGAACATTTATTATGCAGAATTTGCCAGCATGCTGGGGCCACCACTCCTTAGAATGGCAACCAGGAAGTGAACACACAGACGCAATTTAAAGACAAAGCATTTCCCTACTGTGACTAGGTAATCTTTTTATTGGTTGGTTAGTGCTGATCTAAGGGATAGGGGGAATTCATGGAATGTCCAGTTAACAAGCTGTAACCAGGTAACAGAGTGCTAAAAAAAGTGCACAGGTAACTAAATAAAGCCTTTCTGGTTAATTTTTAATTTGATTGGTCAAGTGCTTGGGACTTTTCAAGGCAGTTACTACATTACTGTTTTTGATTTTCAGGGAGGTTATTGAGTTACTGTATCTTGTTTCCATAGGCTGTAGTTTTGTTTTCTGAGAAACAGAAACACAGGCCTGTTCAGCCTAAAGCTAATTTGAAAGTCTGTCATGGTCTCTGGCTTATAAAATATTTTTCCTTTCACAAGAAATGGGAATTTCTAGAAGAGTTAACTTAGTCAATATTTTTCTAGAGGATTTGGAGCATTTAAGTAATACTTTATAAATGAACTGAAAAGATCTTTCTTCCGGCCGCTTGGTTCTTAGTATAATTCTCAGCTTACACTGACCTTGATAGCAAACATCTACCTCATGTTACTGCCTCTGTTCTGCTTCCTATAGATTACCTATGGACCATTCCACCCTCTCCTGAATGACCAAGACAAGTTTCCTAATCTGCATCAAATTGCCTCCAAAGACAGATTCCTGTCTGAAGCCATGGTATCCTTGTTGATACATTTCAGCTGGATGTGGGTGGGACTGGTCATCCAAGATGATGACCAAGGTAGACAATTTCTCTTAGACGTAAGAGAAGAAATGCAAAGAAATGGAGTCTGTGTAGCCTTTGTAAATATGATCCCAGAGAACATGCAGTTATTCATGACAAGGGTTGAGAAATATTACCACCAAATCATTACATCATCAGCAAATGTTGTAATCATTTATGGGGAAGTGAACTCTACTCTAGAAGTGAGTTTTAAACACTGGGAATATTTAGGCACACAGAAAACCTGGGTCAGCACCTCACAATGGGATGACATCACAAGGGAGAGTGACTTCAGCCCTACTGCATTCCACAGGACTTTCACTTTTTCACAACATCATGGAGGTATTTCTGCTCTTCCTAATTTCTTGGACAGAATGAAGTTCTCTAAGGACACACATTATTTTTCTCCTGAAAGACTGGGGTGGATGTACACCAACTGTTCAATATTGAAATCTAACTGTAAAACACAGAGTCATTGTACATTCAATAACACATGGGAATTGGTAGCATGGCACAGATTTGACATGGCCATAAATGATGAGTGTTACAATATATATAATGCTGTATATGCTGTGGCCCATGCCCTCCATGAAATGCTTCTTCAAGAAATAGATTTTCTGCAAAGGAAAAATGTGAGCGCACTAATGAATGAGTGCATTCAGGTAAAGTGTCTTCTATTAGCAACCTTGGGGTACTCTCAAGGTACCCCAAATTTTAAAAATATTTTAATTGAAATAATTACATCACTTCCCCCCACTACTTCCTTCTGTAAACAATCCCATGTTCCCCTCATATTCTCTCAAGTTGACAGCCTGTTTTCTTTGAGTATTATTGTTATATATGTTGCAATCACAAATATGTAAATACAACCTGATGAATTCATTTTTCTTGTTTATGTATATATGATATAACAGCAAAAAAATATTCTTAGAGAAGAATGGGATCATAAAGCATAGTTGTCTGAGATTTATTCCATCATTTATAAGGGTTTCTTTCATTTTTCATGTATCAAGAATTAAAAATATTAATATTAAATCATGAAAAAATTACATGAAATATTGAACACCACTTTTGACAAAGTCAATGATTTTTTTTCAAGGAGGGTATGAATGGGTCAAAAAATGTTTTAAAGCAGTAATTTTTACACAAATTCTTTTGTATTAAGTTTTTTCAGATAAAATTAATAGTATCATTTTTCTTCCCTCCCACGTTTCACTACGTCATCTCCACCTCCTTACATGTCTTCTTTTTCGATCTCTATACACCTCTCTATTCTTTATACCTGTCTCTATATATGTCTCTCTCTGAGTGTCTTTCTCTGTCTCTCTCCTTTCTCACTCTGTTTCTCTCTCTCGGGTTTTGTATTTCAATATGTGAAAATCAAAACAAACAAACCAAATAAAAATAAAAACATCAAAATCAATTAAGGAGCGTACAAATATCATGGATTCTGTTTTCTCTTGGGCAACGTCCTGACATGGGGCCTGTTCTAGAGTGTGCTTACTACACCGAGTGACACTCCATCTGTGAAAAGTAATTTTCCCTTTCAGAGCAGGTATTTTCAACTGCAAAAAGCTTTGGGATGGGTGTGGGGTTTTATGTCCATTTTCTCTACTCTGTGGTGGGGTTTGGTCTGGTTTGAACCTGTGCAGATCTATTGTTGTGTACTCAAATTGTCTCTGTGAGTTTATTCATGCATCAGTTTGTTGTGTCTAAAGATACAGTTTCCTTAGAGTCACCCACCAATTATGACTTTTATAATCCCTCTGAATTTTCTTCTACATGGATGCCTGAGTCTTGAGGATGGGTGTTTGATGAAGACACTCCTTTTAGGAATTAGTGTGCCAACATCTCTCACTATCTGCAGGTTGTACAGCTGTATCTGTGTTAATTACCATATACTGGAAGGAAAATGTTTTCTAGTGATTATACTTGTCTGCTCAGGAGTATAAGTATAGCAGTGTGTTATTAGAAGTCATTTTATAGGCAGGTTCCTTTAGCAAGTTGATAGTAGTGGGTTTCCCATAGGCTACATTGCCTATCTAGTCTACTGTTCTTGAACACTCTAGCAGTGTCAGATACAAGTTCTGTCTCATAACATGGGCCTAAAATTCAATCAGAAAGTGATGGATTTCTCTAAAAGCACTTATGTCAATATTGCACCATTATGTCTTGCAGACAAGTCTCAGTTGTAGTTCACAGGGTCTGTAGCTGGGTGTCATTGATGGTTGCTGTTCTCCTCTGGTAGCATCAGAGCATCTTTCAGCACCATGGAAGCTAGTGAATAGTAGTGAAGCTTTTACTTGGACATCATTTGATTTCTCTCCAGTGAGTAACAGAAGTAATTTGTGGCTCCATGGATATTGCCTTTGTTATGCCAGGTTCACGGGACCCTCAGAGACCACCAGGAGATGACTCAATGCAATTGCAAGAGACCTTTATTACAAGAGCGATAGAACTTGGGACCCAAGTCTCACTGACGCAGCAGTAGAGAAGTGGGACCCCAAGCTCAGAGTGAACAGGATTTTGAAAGGGAAAATCTGTGAAAAGGGGGTTTCCATGGCAGCAAAGAGGGGGGCATAAGTCTTGGCGTTACAGAAATGGGTGAGGTTTAGCAGGGCAGGGTGACCTTTTCTGAGGCACGCAATCACAAAGGCTAAGGCATATAATTACAATGGCTATTTTTCTAAACCATATCTGAAACATTAGGGAGAATTTTCCCACACGATTCTCAACTGATTCCCATTGATTATTGCCAGGGAATTTGTCTCTATTTTCTATGAAGCATTTATTCTGTGATATTTCCTGGAGGCTGTTGCTAGGAGAGTTAACATTGTTTTCTTCCAGGTGTACATTCTGTGAAATTTCCTGGTACCTGAATTCAGTTCCCAGTCAAAATCTTTATTTCAAAATGGAGTTATATTAAGGCTATCTTAAACTCTTCATCATCTAATCAGATTATCACTTAGAAATAGCCTGTGATGTTTGTCAGGTTCTAAAAGAATGGTTTGGTCAAAGTTTCAGCAAGAAGCAGTCCATTCCTCACAATGGAACTTTTGTTTAGTGATGTAAGATATCTAGTTGGGACATTGACCCTCTTATAATGTAGTGAATCCATTTAAATTACTATTATATATGTAAATATTTACGAAGCATATACAATAGTAGGTTTACATGTAGCTTTTCAAATGACTTTTAATGTTAGTTATTCTTCCACATATTTCCTTCTTTATCCAGTTTTTCATCATCCTCCCTATTGAATCTACTTAAACTAGGTCCACTTCATCACTTTGTCGTACTATAGTCTAGTTGCAAGCGTTGAAAGATTGCAATACAAATGCATAGTCCCTTACTAGCTTCTTAAACTCCGTATGTACTAACATAAAGACACGCATACCTAAAGCGTAAAAGCTACATACAAATATAAGAGAACACATGCAATACTTGCTTTGCATCTGGGTTGCTTCACTCAGCATGATTAAATCAAAACTAGAAGAAGAAAAACCTTGGACACTGAGTACTCAAATGTGTGGTGATAGATGTGATAGCTTATTCTGAAAATGTTTTGGAACTGATGAATACCATCATGCAAGGTGAATACTCACAGAGAAAATGGGTGTTTAGATTATTTTCTCACTATTTATATTCTCATTTATCTGCCGAGTATTGGGTTGTTCATGTCTTTGTCCTTTTATGGAAAGCCTGAAATCATAACATCATCATGACATTTTAAAAATTATCTATGTAATTTTATTTACCTGATAGAGTACTTCCAATATAGTTGGATTTTGAGAGATTTTAAAAACTAGGAGGTTTTTCCTACACTGCCTTTCCTGATTTAGTATATTTATATGTGTTTTAATAATTAATAGAGTGCTCCATCTCTTTAGATACATGCTTTCCTTAAGAACATGCACTTTTCTAATCCTATTGGAGACAAAGTGAACATTAATGAGAAAACAAAAACAGATGCAGAGTATGACATCCACATAATTTGGAATTTTCTACAAGGTCTTGGAATGAAGGTGAAAATAGGGCATTTTTCCCCATATTTTCCACAAGGTCAAAAACTGTATTTATCTGAGGACATGATTCAATGGGCTACAGTGAGTAGGCAGGTGAGTTTGACCTAAACTTAACATTTTACAAGTAGATGGAAGCTATCAAAATATTGTGGTTCACTGTTCCGTCCTCATGGTGATTATATAATTTTCATCTGAACTTTTATATATATTTTAAGTGACAAATTTCATTGATTAGTTTCTGGAGACTTGTATTGTTATTGTACTAAGTTGACTATGCCTGTTACATCGGTTCATAAAATTCAGCTAGTGGCATAATACATACTACATAGTATGGTTATAAAAACAGCAGGTAAACTGCTATCTTTTAACAATACATATTTTGCTTTACAGATACCCCCTTCTGTATGCAGTGTGAGCTGTGCTCCTGGATTTAAAAAATCCCACTCAGAAGGAAAAGCATCCTGCTGTTTTGATTGTTCCCCCTGTCCTGAAAATGAGATTTCAAATGCTACAGGTAACCTCAAGCTGTGGGGGAAATGTCTATACAGACTTACTGTCTTCTCTCACCCGAAAGGGACGGTATGTGAATGAGGAGATAAAATGACTATGTTGCTTAATATGATATATTATTTTATATAATTAGTACTATTATACATGTGTAGTGTTCATTGTCAGTGTGGAATACATATGTGTTAGGATGAATGTGTGGGGTTCTTTTTTTTTTTTTTCTTGAATGTGCAACTGTGTGTATGTTCACTAGTATTCAGGGGCCACGTTTGACACACTCTTTCTCGGCCACTCTTGTGTTTTCAGAGTGCCCTAAAGAGCAGAACTGTTGGAATGAGTGTAAAATTGAAGGGGAATTTTAGACCCATTCCATGGTAGAATTGGGCAGTAAAACCATGGTTGTCCTCATATTCAGGAGGCTGAGGAAGTATAGATTCTCAGTCCACGACCCTAGGTAATTTGGAGGTTCCAATCGGTGCTGAAGGTCAAGGGTATCCTAAGAGAAATGGTGTCCTTCAATCCATGTGGAAGTGCCATGAGGATGCAGTCTGATGTTGTTTAAGAACGACAGCATCAACCTGACAGGAAAAATGACAGCTTTCTTACCAAGATCAAGTACTACAATTCACTACCTTTGAAGACAGGGTTTCTAAGTGGACATGTAGTTCACAAATTTTTCTGGTCCAGCTGGATTTCCATCTCCAAAGCTCTTCCTATCTCTGTAACACCATTTTTGGAAATACAGATGAGTGCCACCACTCCTTGATTCCTACTTGGATGCTGAAAGTTTGAACTAAGGTCTTCAAGCTTTTGCTACAAGCACTCTAATTAAGCTGCCTCACTAGCCTTTCCCTATTCCCTGAAACACATTTTTTTCAGTCATTATACAAGCACTGCGTGTAATATTCTCTGAAAATGACCACTTAAAGAAGTAAGCCTTAATGTATTATGTGCCTTAGTGAATTTAACTCATACTTATATGTTTGATAAAATATGTTTAACATTCTCTTTTCATGACTCAAGCAGTTGAGATTGAAGGTTGAATCTCCTTTATCTTAGTTCTTCATGAAATGCTTTAGGAAGACCCCATTCTCAGAGATGCTGCTTTCAACTTAAGTGGCATGTGCTTTGCATTCCCAAACATATTCCAGAACTGCACATTTTCAGAGAACAGATTGTATTTTCTATTCATCTCTAGCTCACAAGTGAATTAGGAAGGTGAGTTAGGAATGTGTACATAGTACAGTCTTAGGAAGCTGCAATGAATACTTGGAAAATTCAGTGTTCTTTATCTCAAGGTCATTGAAGTGTGAGGCTTTTGAAGCTGACGTTCTAAGTTTATATTTATGATGAGATATGTACTTCATATATCCTTCTGTTTCCCAAACCTGTGCAATAAGAAGTTGAAAAACGGGTGGATAGTTCCTGTTTTCTTCCCTAAATTCTTTCTCTCCACAATTTCCTCCATTTATGTTTTCTTTAATTTTTCCAATTCTATCTTCAGTTCTTGAACCGTTTTGTTGATTTCTTTCACCTGTCTCACTATATTTTACTGTTTTTCCACCAGTTCTTTCAGCTGTTTGTTTGAACAATCCTCTGTTTCTTTTATTTCATTCAGTGATTTAAGCAGCTGTCTGTGCCTGTGGCTAGAGTCCAGTCACTGGATTTAATAAAAATAAATGAAGAAAGAAAAAAATACAAAAAAAGAAATAAAAAGAAAAAGGGGTGGGTAGAAAAAAAATTTATGTAGAAAAGGGGCCTAATATCAATTCTGAAGGTTTAAGTGGTTCTGAGTCCAGTGGTTACTGCCAGCAAAACAGTTAGATATAGTCACATATTGAAACAATGCCACGAAATTATAATTATTCACATTTTAATATTACATAAATCCATAATCCGAAGTAAGCAACTAGTTGTAAAATTTAGTGGAGGATCCTAGTGGAGGATACATTTCACTTTTACTTGCTGTTTATATTCTTTGTGATAAATACAATGAAATGCTGAATATACAATATCTCATTTAGAATACACATTAAACTTTAAATCTTTAGTTACACGTGCTCACAAATTAGAGACAAATATTGAAAAAGAAACACTTCATGAAGAGGAGATTTGCCTAATGGAAGATTTCAATAGGCAAAGTATTAAAATTGCTCAAAGTTACTTAAAGAGAAAATGAAAATGCAATCGAGACCTCTCTGTTCAAGCACATTCAATGCCTGCAGAAGACCAGATAGATTGCATGTAGACTTTCCTGCTCTCTGTTATCTCAGACCCCGTCCTTATGGTCTCCCTAGTGCTGCAACAGAACACCAGTTGCAACTTCCCCTCCCTCCTGTCCAAACATCCTTTAGATCCCTTAGACCATCTCTCCCTTGTGTCCCCTTCCCCCAGCCTCCGCCAGCTTTTGAACACAGCAGTCAAGCAGGCTAGGAAAAGGGAACACATTCTTTGAAAATCCATAGACAAAACAGAGTAAGAAATTAAACACCAACCCAAACAAGACTAATTGGAAATCAGTACCTAGATGGATAATCACATGAAGCCCAGACACCCAGATGCCAGTGTAAGAATACAGCAATAGCAATGGCAATACATCTTTACCAGAGCCCAATTATATAACTCCAGCAGGTTGTGAACATTCCATCACAGTGGAAAAACAGGAAAAAGACCATAAAACCAACTGTATGAAGATGAGAGAGGTGCTTAAAAAGGAAATGAATCAATTTCTCATAGAAAGCCAGGAAAATACAAACAACTAATTGAAGGAAACATAAATGAAAGGAAGAAATTATAAAAGGAAACAACAGTTTTCAAGACCAAAAATGGAAATAGAAACAATACAGACAAGAAAACTGAAGGAATCCTGGATATACAAATTTATGAATTCTAACAGGAAATACAGAGTCAAGCTTCACCAACAGAATTGAAGACACAGAAGAGAAGAACCTCAGTTATAGAAAAAACAATAAAAGAAGTGAATACAACAATAAAAGAAAATATTAAATCTACAAAATTTTTGACACAAAACATCAGGAAATATGGGACACCATGAAGAGAAAATATAATAATATTTATATTAAAATAATAGGAATAGGAGAAAAGAATGTATCCCAGATACAAAGAATGTATCTGGGCCTTTGGGCCCAGAAAATAACCACAAAATCATAGAAGAAAAATTTCCTGATTTGAAGATGAAAATGTCTATAAAGGTAGATGAAACAACAAATAGATTGAATCAGAAAAGAAAGTCACCTCATCACATAATAATAATGAAAAGGCTAAAAATACAGAAGAAAAATATTAAAGCCTGCAAAGGTAAAATAAGTACTGTATAAAGTGTCACCTATTATAATTATACCAGATTTTCCAATGTAAATTCTTAAAAGCAAGAAAGGATTAGACAGATGTGGTACAGACTCTAAGAGACTATAAATGCCATCCCAGAATACGATTTCCAGCAAAATTTTAAAACACTATAAATGGATAAAATGAGATATTCTGTGGGAAAGTCAAAATTAAACACTATTTTTCTACAATACAGCCCTACAGAAGGTTCTCGAAGGAAAAACACAAACCACGGAAGTTAATTACACATATGAAAAAAAGAAACATACATAGTCTTCCATCATCAAAGAAAGGAAATGCACATCACTCAGCTACTTACACACACAAACACACACACTCAATTATTCACACATACCACCACCACCACAAACAACGATAACAAGAAAAACTTAACAGTCATTGTTCATGGAAATTGCTTGGTAACTATGGTCTCAATTTTCCATTGAAATGATACACACTGACAGAATGGATGTAAGAACAGGATCCATTTTTTTCAGTTGTATACAAGAAACAAGCATCAAAATCAAGGATATACGTTACTTCAGTTTAAAGAGTTGGAAAAGATATCCCAATCAAGTGAACCTAAAAAGCAAATTGGTGGAGCAATTTGATATAAAAAATACTTCAAACCAAAATCAATCAAAGGAGATGGGGAAGAACACTATATGTACATTGAAGAAAAAATCCATCAAGATGACATTTCAATACATCTAGGCATCAAACACAAGGCCACCTACTTTTGTACAACAAACACTACTACAGCATAAATCACACAGTGATCCTTACACACTGGTGGAAGATGTCAATATCTCCCCAATGGACAGCTGTATAGACAAAATCAAAACAGAGGAATGCTGGAGTTAGTTGACATTATAAACCCAAAGAACTTAACATATTTACAAAACATTATACCCAAGCATAAGAGAATATACTTTCTTCTTGGCACCTCATGGACCTTTCTCCAAAATTTGCCACATACAAAGCAAAGTCTCAAAACATACAAGAAAATATAAAGAAACCCATGCTTCTTATCACACCACCCTGGCTTAAAGCTAGATATTAACAACAACTGAAACTCTTCTTTAAAAGTTGGTAGAATTTTACTATCAAATCAACTGTCACCAGGCTTGTGTATTTGGTTGAGACAATTTAATGATAGCTTCTATTTTACTATTGGGTAAAGGGCTATTCCACAAAGTAGAAACAAAATAAACATTGTGTGATTGATTTTATGGGCTAAAGGTGTGCTGATAAGCAAACAACATGAAGACTCAACAAAGAGAATACAGACCAATTTCGTTTATGAAAATAGACACACATATATGCAATGAAATACTCCCAAACTGAAAACAAGAATACATCCAAAAGATCTTTTGCCCTGATCAAATCGGCTTTATCTCAGAGATATAAAAGTGGGTCAATATAAAAATCAGGAAATGAAAATGGCCACATAAATAAAACAAAAGAAAATGGTCATCTTATTAGATACCAAAAAAAAGCTCTTGACAAAAATCCAATACCCCTCCATGATAAAAGTTCTAGAGGGATTAGGGATACAGTGGATATACCTAAACCTAATAAAGGCAATTTAATACAGCCTGTACCCAACATGAATTTAAATGAAGAGAAACACAGGCAATTCCATTAAAATCATGGACAAGACAAGGCTCTCCATGCTTTCCACATTTATTCAATCTAGTACTTGAAGATTTGGTTAGATATAC